CCCAGCCCTCGGCGGGAGACCTTTGTGCTGAAGGACAGCCCTGTCCGAGATCTACTGCCCACTGTGAGTTCTCTGGCTTGGAGCACCCCCTCACCGAGCAGCCTGACGCCTCGACTTCGGAGCACCGATAAGAAGGGGGCAGCCAGGGGTCTGAGGGTGACATCCGGGAAGAGGCCCTCCCCTGCAAAGAGGGTGAGTTTGGGAAGTTGGAGTTGCATATGTGTCCCAGAAGCACTGCCGAACATGCTGCAGACTGTTTTCCTCACTGGCCAAATGGGGATAGTAATTCTAACCTCTGGAATTGTGGAGATTAAATAGGAAACTATACCATAGATTCTATAAGCCAAGCATTTACCACAGTGTCTGTGTATAGGCTTTCTAATGCGCATAATAACCTCAATAAGCCTGGCATTGGTGCCAGCACGTGCCTGTAATCCCAGACCTCTGGGAGGCTGAGACAGGAGGATCACAAAAGTTAGAGCCCCATCTGGACAATTTAGTGAAAATTGAGCAAGACCTTCTCGTAAAGTAAAAAAGGAATAGAAATGTAGCTCGTTGCAAAGGAATGGATTCAGGCCCCCAGTACTGTGCCAAAAAAGAAAAGTTCTAATGATAGTGGTGGTACTAACAATGTGGCAAGGGTCAGTGAGATAGCTCAATGGACTAAGCACCTGCTTAGGCAAGCTCAGGGACCAGGGTTCAATCCCTGGCACCACATGGTGCACTGGCTCCACCCCCTCGACACACTGAGCCAGCCACCGAGACCTGGCGTGGTGGCAAATGCCTGTAATCCCAGTGCTGGGGAGGCTGAAAACAGGAGGATCACTACAAGTCTGAGCGATGTGGTGAGACCCTGTAGGAAATATATTAAAAATTTTTTTTTAAAAAGTGGCAGCCAACTTCTGCTTGTCCTCACTGGGCTCTACAGAAGACACTACTTTCTATTCCTTGATTCCTTAAGCCAGCTTAATGCCTTAAACCTGCAGAGCAGATTCTTCCGCCATCCTTATCCTTTTTTTTTTCTTCTGTTTCAGGAGTCGCCCACTTGCAATCTGTTCCCTGCATCTAAAAGCCCAGCACTGTCTCCTCTCGCACGATCCTCTCTTGCACGATCAACTCCTCCACTCC